TCCCGAACAACCTGTGATGACTGATCTTGCCTTCCAAGCATGCAGAGACTGGTGGAAGCACCCACCTGGTGTCTCCACTCGGCGGTAATGGTACGGGTTGATGCAGACCTCCTTCTGCTTTGAGCCAAAGGGGAACTCACAGCACTCCAGGGGCTTCAGTTCGTGATGGGATTGCAGGTCTGGCCAGCGCCACACACGGCAGTAGATGACATGGGGCAGCCCCTTGCGGTGGGACACCTGTAGGCGTCCATCCAGGGACCTAGGGATGGTGACACACTTGCTAGGCTGGCCTGGGCAGCTCAGCGCCCTCTCTAGCTCATCCATGGCCCCTTTCTTCTTCTTTAACTTCTTCACCAAAGAGTCCACGGCCTTTTCTGCCCACTTCTCCTCCTCATCTCCCTGCTTCCAGCCCAGCAGCCTCTTCACTGCAGGGCTGGTGAAGGAGAAGAGGGAGCTGATGGGGGTGCTGGGGTGCATAGGAGGCAGACCTCAGACTCCTGCACACGGACAGAGGATGAGGCCTTTCAAGGCTTGCAGAGTCCTGGTCAGGTCAGCACCAAGCACTTGTCCACAGATGTCATGGGAACAAGCTTGCCTTTTCTTCTGGAAGCAGTGGGGACTGGTTTAAGTTAGGAGATGGGCTGACTTCCTCCAGAGCCCTTGGGTGGGTGGGCAATCTAACTCTGAAAGACAGGGCAAGACTTTATGAGCCATCGGAGTCATTTTCAGACTAGGTGAGGAAGGACAGAAGGGACAAATCACCCTCCTAATGTTTTAACTTGAGAACCCCTCCAAGTCCTTGTTGACCTTACCTTCCTCTTCCTTCTCCCAGCCAGATCTTGGTCACAGCCTTCCAAATCTCTTTTGTTGCTTCTCTCTTCCTCTCCATTTTCCCCAGCACTGAGTACACCCCGCCCCAGCATGGCTACAGCTCCAATGTGGCTTCGCCCCTTCACACTCTCTTCCACACCAATTTCTTTCCTCCCAAACACAATCTCCACCCAAATCACTTTCCTGTGCAAGAAAGGGTATGGCTCCTTCATCTCTACCTGGGTTTCCAGGGTTCCCAACCCCTCTCTCTGAATATATGGTCTTTCTTTATCTCCCAGTTGCACAAATACTCTGCCCTCAGTGTAGGAAATGCATACAAACAAATGTAAACAAAAATGGAAGACACTGAGATCTCAAACAATCCCACTGCTCAGATTTCACTGTATAGCATTTCAGAACAGCAGTTCTCAGAGTGTGTTACCAGGAACCACTGCAGCTTCCTGAGCCCCCTTCCAGGCTGTGAGGCCCTCTCTTTTCCAAATCCACATCTCTGTGAACTAAATTATCTTAATCACATCAGCCAAAACAACAGATCATAATAGGTTGTATGAGGAGGTGAAAATGAGAACACAGGTACCATCCATTAAACCAGCATTCAAGAGATTACCCCCTCTTTTTTTAAACCAATCTTTTAAACATGGCATTTAATTTTAAAATATTTGCCCTCAGGCTGGAGAGATGGCTCAGTGGTTAAGAGTATTTGCTGCTCTTGCAGAAGATATGAGTTTGATTCCCAGCCACTCACAATCAATCACCTTTTAACTGTAGGTCAATGGGATCTGTTGCCCTCTTCTGGTCTCCTTGGGCACTACACATATGTGGCACACAGGCATACACACAGGCAAAACAGCCACATGCATGCAAATAAAAAGTGAAAAAAAATTGTCTTCATAAAAGATGTATTTATATTAATAAGTCAATAACTTTGAAATTACATTTATTTGTTCAGTGTGTGTGTGTGTGTGTGTGTGTGTGTGTGTGATATAGTATGCCCACAGAGGTCAGAGAACAACTTTTGAGTCACATCTCTTCTTCCACCATGTGGGACCTGGTTGAACTCAGAACAATTCAGAATTTGTGCCAAGTGCCTTTTCCCACTGCACCCCTTTGCTGGCCTGCAAATCAATAATTTTGTAAAAATAGTTTTACTTTCCAAAATAGGAGAAAATTGAAAGATGTAACCTACAAATAAAAGCTAAAGTTTCTCCATAATTTTTAAGTGGAAAGGCACCATGAACCAAAAAGTTTGAAAACTGTTTTTCTAACAGTCACAGCGTCATACAGGTAACTGTGAACACCAAATGTCACCATTGTCACATTTGTTATTCTGCCCCAAAGTCAGCTGCCCTCTCCCTGATGCTCTCACCCAAAGGATCCATCTCTTCTGTGTTCCCCAAAAAGACACACTCAAGTTTCCTGAGCTACAGCTGCATTTGCTCTTCTTAGAAATAGCAGGGACTAAACAAAACCTCCTCCTTCCATATTTTAGAAACCTCATTCATGTGCAATGATGTCCATCTGTCACATCACTGTGGGACAAACTGACTCATTTGAGTCTCTTAGAATCAGCATAGCTCAAAAACCTCCTGCGGCTGCTTGTTGAACTCACTTTGAGTGCCATTTTCTTCTTTGTGTCCCTGGGGGAAAGGCATAGCTTTCCAGATCTCCTTATATAAATGTTTTTATTTTGCAGTACAGGGCTGGTGCATGCTAGGCTAGTATGCCACTTCTGAGTTGCACTCTAAATCTTAAATTTCTTTGGAACAAAGGTGCTCTTTTATCCCCCTGCTCCAGTGGCCAGGATTAGCACCTCCAAAGAGCACTAAGGCAGCCTGGTTAGGCAAAGCTGATGACACTCAATGCATGGAACGCCGTGCTTACACACTCCATTCCTCATGAGGACCATATTTAGGATGGTCCAGGGCAAAACATGCTGAGAGGGCCAGTGTAGGTCTCCAAAGCTGTTCTTTTTCACTTGGTAGTTTGACTTACTCTCCATTTCCTTTTGAAAGGTTGATTTTTGTGGCTTAACAAATGTGAATTTATAAAGTGTAGTTAAGTCACCATGGGAGTTCTGTTTACTCCATCTAGACAGGCTGCCTTGCAGCAATGGTCCTAGTGGTCAGGAGCTTTCTGGAGGAGATTGGAGCATGACAAACAAGAACATGAGCCCAAAGAGCTATAGATTCTGCTTAGTTTTGTGTGGGACTTGTTATTAGCAAGTTATGGCATAAATCTTTATGTTCACAAATATGCTCATCAGAATTTAACTAAATACACTTAAAGAAAAGAAAAACTGTTTCAAGGAACAAATAACATTTTTCTTCAATGGGGTTGATTTGGCTTTTATTGGAGCAAAGTTATTTGTATGAAACCAAAAAAAAAAGAAAGAAAGAAAGTAGATTATTGTAGGACAGCTAACACAGACAAAGTAATCTCTATAGTGTGAATAATAAGATGATTAAAGCCTTTTGTTCTTGGGTATGTGTCTGGGAGCCAATATGAACTTCATATTTTTTATTATGCTTTACAATAAAAAACTTGAAAAGTATTGCTTCTAAGCTGTATACTTCCCCAGACTGTCTGAAGTTTACCTTGAGTGATACTCGGATACTGTCATCCTTCACTGATGAACTATGGGTCTGAAATGCCTTGATTCTTCACGTCTGACCTCACTGTGCATTGCATAATCATAGACACCATACAAGGCCCCCAAGTAAGATTTTAAGGCTGTAAGGCAGCTTCTATCCCAATAAGCAGAGACCTTTGCATTAAGGGAAACCATGAAGTGTTAAATACAGAATTTCACAGTGATAAATACCAAATTCAAGACCATGAGCTCCTGATAGAGAAAGAGGAAAAGTAGAAATTATCTGAAAGTTGAAATTTAAATCAGGATGACTGGAGGGTACACAGATGTTCAAACATTATCCTCTCTGCTCATCTGTATGCCCAATGTCTTGTTACTAGGAAATGTGTTAAAAATTAATCAAACTTAGAATCCCCAGAACGCTGAGGTTCTTATCTGTCTAATAGTTTGTGTTTTCCCAGGAGGAGCAGTGTGGAATCTGTTAAGTGCCTCCATTCCTTTTCCTAGGGCATTTCAGACACAGGAGGAACTAAGAGGCCCTTGTTTATCTGGAGCTGGCCACCACAGGATCATCCACAGTGCAGTCCCCTGCTGCCTGTGTGAGTTCAACAGTGCCAGCTGGCTCCCTGCAGCTTTCCATTGTTGGAGAATATAAATGTCCACTGACAATGGCCTCCAGTCCATATGACCTTCTGATGGCACCAATGCCCAGACTGCCATACAACTGAATAGAGCACTGCACCGGGGTCAGGAAGAAACTGCAACTGTCATTTATGCAAACTGTAACAGTAAGTGGAAGGGTAAGTAGTGCTGCTTGTCATTACAATGTCTTTACAAAGTGTAAAGAGCACACCGGGCTTGGTGGTGCATGCCTTTAATCCCAGCACTCGGGAGGCGGAGGCAGGCAGATCTCTGTGAGTTCGAGGCCAGCCTGGTCTCCAGAGCGAGTGCCAGGATAGGCTCCAAAGCTACACAGAGAAACCCTGTCTTGAAAAACAAAAATAAAATACAATAAAATAAAATAAAACAAAGTGTAAAGAGCACAGCAAACAAATGAAGCACTGTTTAGATTAGTTGCTGGAATCCTTCTGGAATGAGCACTCTGATACCACTGAGGACAGAAGAAAGAAAATGTCACTGATGGAAGGAAGCCAGGACACCCCCTGAAAGGCTTCAGTCCCTGGTGGTCTCACTATGTGGTTCTAGCTGCTCTGGAACTATGTAGACCAGGTTGGCATCAAACTCAATGAGATCTGCCTGCCTCTGCCTCCCGGGTGCTGGGATTAAAGGCATGTGCCTCCACAGTTGGCTGCTTACTGACTTTTTTCCCCACTAACCTGGTCACCTTGGAAGAGTCTGTTTTTTAACTCTGAAAAGATTAAGATCTCAAAATCCCAGGATGGGTCTGCCAAGCTGCTGCTCCAGATCATCCCAAAGTGCCATGTAAGTGGACGCCTTGAGAAACTCTTCCTTGAGGACACAATACAGAGACTGTCACTCCAGGGCATCACTGTTTCATTTCAAAGGAAGTTTAAACATGACAGTCTTGATTCTCTACTCCCTGCCAGAGCTGACGGTGTGCTAAGAACCACTCTCAGAAACAGTTTACTGACCACATTTAGAGCTTAAACACATTTGGTGAAAGAACTGTCTTCACAGCAAATGTCATACAACACAAATTAGTACAGCAGTAAGAAGTGCTTCTGACTGGCTGTGGTAGCACATGTGGGTGGGCAGAACAAGAGCAAAGCAGGTGTGAGAAAGGCATATGACAGCATATGTGCAGCACTGTTGTGGGGTTTTTTCATCACATGTGGATCCCCGCTGGGGGACCCAGGCTTTTGCTACAGCAAAGGGTTTGCCGCTCCCTAAGGTGATGGGCTGAACCAACAAAGGACACATCCCCTAAGAGGCTGAGACAGAAAGCAGGAGATGAGACGGGGCGCCCAAGTCTGGGCCTGAGCTAGACTTTAACAGAAGATGAAGGACAAAGGATCTGGCTGAAGGGAGAAAACACAGAAGCCCTCCAATTGCTTGATGGTTTGCCCAGTGCCCACAAGCTGTGATTCTTAAGGGGCCATGTGGCACAACAGGGGACCGGGAGGGGCTGGGGGAAGGGAAACTGCAGGCAGGATGTAATGTATGAGAGAAAAATAAATAAATAAATAAATAAATAAATAAATAAATAAATAAATGAATAAATAAATAAACGTATGAGTGAATGAATAAATAAAAAACAAGCCAGAGACCATGATGCTGTTT